CCTTGGTCTTCCCTGCATTGATGATGAGGTGGTTCTGCTGACACCAGTCCACAAAGTCCTGTATTAGTCCTCTGTACTCCACATCATTATCATCCTTGATGAAGCCAATGATGGCAGAGTCATCAGAGAACTTCTGCAGGACGCAGCTGTCCGTGTTGTGTCTGAAGTCTGCAGTGTAGAGGGTGAAAAGAAAGGGCGCGAGGACAGTGCCCTGGGGCGCCCCCACACTATCAGTCAGGAGGTCAGACACGCAGTTCTTGGATCTCACAAACTGGGGCCGGTTTGTGAGGTAGTCCAGAATCCAGTCTGCCAGGTCACAGTCCACACCGGCAGTCTCCAGCTTGTCCCTCAGGAGCAGTGGCTGGATGGTGTTGAAAGCACTGGAGAAATCAAAGAAAAGAATCCTCACAGTGCTGCCGGGGTTCTCCAGGTGGGACAGTGAGCGGTGCAGCAGGTAGATGACGGCGTCCTCCACTCCGATTCCAGGCCGGTACGCAAACTGCAGCGGGTCCATCGTTGAGCTCACGGTGGAGTGGAGGTGGCCAAGGACCAGTCTCTCCAGTGTCTTCATCAGATGGGATGTTAGAGCCACCGGCCTGAAGCTGCTGAGGTCTTTAGCGTGCGGCGTCTTAGGCACTGGTACCACGCAAGAGGTCTTCCAGAGTCGCGGTACCACCCTCAGCTTAAGGCTCATGTTGAAGACATGCTCCATAACACCGCACAGTTCGTCTGCACAGGACTTAAGGAGCCTGGAGCTGATGCCGTCTGGTCCTGCTGCCTTCCTGGGTCTAATTTTCTTGAGCTCCAGTCTCACCTGGGCTGCAGAAAATGACAGTGGCAGACTGGGAGGAGGTGTTATATTTCATATTAACCCGCCTCGCATGATCCAGGCGGTTTTATTTTGATTGTAAAAGAAGTTCTACTCCTAATATGGAACCAGATTTGCTGTATAACTGCTAGCCTCCATAGCCTCAGTGACTGGAGTCTAATTCCTTTAGTCCACTTTTTTATACAGCGTATGTTTACATAGTGCTTCAATGACCCCAAACAGTGGATTCAGAGTTGCAATCAACTCTACTCATGGAAAATAAAATCAGATACAACCTCTTTCCTTTACGAGACATGCAGAGAGATAGATTGGAAACAAGGATTCAGGCAGATAAATCCTGTCTGAACCAAGACCAATTGGAATCCAAACCGGGCCTGTAGGTTTTGACCCTCACAGTCTCTCCACAGGACCTGTCTCCACTGTGAGCCAAACCCAGGCAAAGTGATCAGACTTAGTTCTACCGAGGGGTCACCCAGAGGACAGGACAGGAATACAGTATGAGTCTTATAGTACGTAACAGACTCAAAATAACTGCATGCATTTTCCCTGTACAATAATCATGAAATTTCCAGGGCCAGAAATGTAAACCCTTATCTTACATGCATAGGAAAAAATATACTGTTGGAGTATTTTCAGTAATATAATAGTTATTTATATATATGTGATGCGTTTCAAATGTGTATTGGAAATTGTTTTGTATTTGTATTATTTGTAAAAAAAATAAAATAAAAAATAGTATTATTTATTTCATGCTAGGAAATTGAGCAAAACACTCAAGAATGTGACTGTATGTTTGATGGTGTTTGGTACTTGAAGCTGAAATCCAGACAAGGATAAAAAGTACCCTTAAGGATTGACTGAACTATAAATCAAATCATTTGTTTATAAATTGTGTATTTCTACAATTTTAACATTAAAATTTGAAAGTTATACCACTTTACACTTTACAGTTATATCACTTTATAAATGAAGATGCCGGTCTCACAGCCAGAGAATTGAAGCAGGAAGTGCATCTGATGTAAAGCTTGTGTTTACAATGATCTGCTTTGGAAATACGGAAGTAAAAGGGCCACACTAAAAAACATGTATCCCTTAATCATATCTTGCATGTATTTAGACCTAGAGGCTGAAGATGAAGGATCACATGTCTTATCTCATCTGAAGGAGTGTGTTTGTCTCGTGCTAGTGGCTCTTAGAAGTTGGACTTTGATATGTGAGCAGTTTTTAAAGGAAATCCTAATCTGAAGTCGTGAGGGCAGTTCAATCTGAGTTGTTTATTTTTAAGGATTAGAACTCCAATCCAGAGGTAATCTCTTAGTAGCACAGACTAGTTATTGTATTGAAAAAGTGCCCTGTGTTTCTCCAGTGGTTGCAATGGAATATTGTCATGGCCTGTCCACAAAAAGGTTTAACAGAGTTATTTTCAGTTGTGTTTTATTATATAATAATTTTCATCAATAATTTGACATGTGGCTTGCTTCTTCGGTCACAGCCCACATTATTAAATATTTGCATGGCAATAACATTGGAGACAAACTGGGGAAAATCTGTCTATTTTTACATTGACATCTTAGTCTCCACAGCCAGAAAGAGATGCAGAGATGGAGAAACTGAGAAACACATGTAGCACCATCTACTGGATCTGTCCTGTCATCACACCTTAAATAGGCTAGTGCATTAATGTACCCCCTTGAAAAGGCATCAAAATAGTCAAATCATTTCAAATGAATCAAAACTATGAAAATGATTCAGCCCTTTTAAAATTTAACACACATTTGAATTTTTTCTTAATTTATTCCATTTTGTTATGAGACAATCAATCATGTGACTATCAAGCTCCTGAGCATGTGAAAATTCAACAAATCAATCAGTGCCCAAAATCCAGATCAGTTTGTGCAGTAAACCTACAAATAAAAAATAAGACTTAATTTGCAAAATTTTAATAGTCCCTGCCTGGACTAGAGATGTAATTTTACTGATAATGGCTTCAACTTTAAAATGGGAATTGTCAAGTCACAACCAATGCTCAACTTTACTCAACTTTACCAAAAAACTTAAGCAGGATTTGAAATTCCATTTCCCTCTGAGCACAGTTTGTCACCTTTTTCAATTCAAGTAAATCTGAATGAACAGATGAAAGCTGCAGAGCGTTTTATAGTGTAGTATAATACACTTTCATTCACACCCCCACTTCCTACATTAGTAGATCTGAGTGTATATGGCTTTTGTCTGAGCCTTGTTCACTAACACTGGTTATTATTAATCCTGGTTATACAATAGAAAAGCCCTGAGTGTTTGGAGACAAGTGTGAAGTTTGATCATGTGACACAGAGCTCACAAACAGAGCTTTTATGTTCAAGCTCAGAAGTGTCGTAACCTTGGCAACCTCAGGGATCTGACCTTTGGATTTACTGCACATAAAAGGTTGAAAACAGAGAAATCAAAATACAAACTTAATTTATAGACTCTGCTTTTTAAAATGGCTAGAGCTGATAATAGCCTAATAATCAGATGACAATATATCTCCACACCAAGCCATATTCTCAGAATCTCTCATATTAAATAACTTCATGTTCTCTTCATGACTTACATATATCTCATCTTTAGTCCACCACTAGGCCTCCTGTCTGCACTCCAACCACTGCAGGTATTCAATCAGTTGCTAATCCCAGAATTAATATCCATTATCTTAAATTGGCAAGGGCGTGTTTGTTATTTTATTTTATGTATGTATGTATGTATTTATGTATTCAACATTTAAGTTGAATCTTGAATGAATGAAACAGTTCTGCTTGTGATTATTCAGCACCTTGTAAGCTTGGGCTGTTTTAAATTTGCTCTATAAATAGTTTTTATTGATTGACTGAAATTGAATTGGACATGTCACAACCATGAAAGCAAATAATAAGATAACAAATCGCATCTTAAACTTAGAGCTGGCCCCAATGATGACATAGATAGACAAAACATGACTCATTCAGTTAAAGGGCTAAAGTGCACAAACGAAATTCCACACTCACACTAAATGCTCTCATAGGATCCAAAACTGTTCTGAACTACACAAGAGCACTGATCCTTGTGACTTCAGATATAAAGGTGTCTGGCTCAATGAAAGCATCCAGGTGCATTCTTACCTGAAGTTCAAAGAGGAGGAAGAAAAACAAAAAAATTTGCTTGGCATATTTGGCTGTAATGCTGATTTCACTTTGGTTATTCTGATGGTTCAGAAACATGAGCACTCTGCATCAGTTAATGTCGTGAAGAGGTACATATTTTCATATTAACCTTAGTTGCACAATGCAAATGCAGCACAGTTTTTTTTTTTTTTTAAAAAAAGGTCCATTGTCTGCAGTGGTGATACGTAACCACCAGAGGGCAGTGTGCTACACCAGCTACATCCCTGATGCTGCCAAATTTGCTCCACTGCGCTCAGGGTGCAAAAGAACTATGCACGTGTGCAGTGTGCTCGTGTTCTTTCAATATACTGATCACCGAATGAACACTTCACTCATTCATGTGCCACACTTGTAGGTGGTGACATAATACCGGTATAGGAATAGAGTGCATGTAGTGGAGCCTTAATAACAAAATGTGCATTAAAATTGGTCTTTGTATATTTAATCAACTCATCTAATTAGCCTAGAATAAATGTCAACCTAGCTTTTTGGAAATAAACGGGAGGAACATTTGCTTTGTGTTATGTTGGTGTTTTGTAGTATTGCATATAAAATACAAATACATGTATTGTGTTACTTCTAAAATGATTCTGGACCAATTTAAATTATGAGGCTGCTTATTTAAAAAAAAAAAAAAAAAAAAAAAAAAAAAGTTCTGTGCGCCAAGAGTTAAATCCTCAATATTCAAGAACCGGCACCAGTGACCCACGCACTGACCGCGTGCAAATACCTTAGGCTCTGATTGGTCGAGGGGGTGTCAGTTTAGGTTGGGCCAAATTAACATATTTATCGGGCCATTTAAAACGCCAGAACTTCACCTGCATCCTCTCCACCGTAACATTCACTCACACCACACACACAACACACACTGACGCACAGTTACGCACAAACCAAGAAACCTCAAACTGCATGGAGCGACAATCAGATCCATTCAGCATTTAAGAAACCCAAGTCCAAACACGTCCACTCACCTCAAAACCTCTGGGTGACCTCACCTTTGGCGCTAAATCCAGGAGAAGGTACAGCGCTTCGTGTTCAGCATCATATTCGCATTTGCTGCTCCAAAGCCGGGTCACTCATGAGGTTAGAGGCCGCTGCGAGGATGGATCTGTTCCGGAAGCTGTGGACGGCCAGGAAGCTGCTCGTGGTGGTCCTCATCCCGCTCTCTCTGCTACCGCTGCCGCTCATCCATCCAACCAGCGTGAGTACCACACGAGCGCACCTGTGCTTAAAATACAATATATAAAAATTTTATACATAAACTTTTAAACGTATCAGAGCGATATAATAACCTGGCAATATAGTAACTCTAGGTAGAATTGCAAGTGTACAAATGTGTCTCAGATCAAACTAAGTGGGCCTAAGCGTTTTGCATTCAGATTGAAAAGTATTTGGATTTATTCCACAATTTACTAAAACAAAGTAGCCAATGTATGTAGTTTGGATAATGTTCTGAGTGTTACTTCATTCAAGTGAACTTTAGATACTATCTTAGCACCTGCTGGTGTTATTTGCAATGTGAAATCAATTGCTCTTCGTCATATTAGCTTTAATTTGCCAAACATAGTATTGTGGTGACATAACTACTCAGTTAGTTTAATGCATGTCTGTAGCTGGGGGGCTAGTATCGCACCCACCCACAAAAACAACATTCATTCATTAGGAAATAATTACAGAGAAGCTTTACCAACAGTTCTCTTGTTGCATTGCTCCACCTGTTGATGAAGTTTAAATGCCCCTTATTATACAGAATTTGAGCTTTTCGCCATGTTATAACATTACCTCATCAAAGACATACCTGGAGTTGTGTTTTGTATGTTTGAGTACCCCTTAATTATTATTCTGTCTACATCTTCAAAGCTCAAAATGCTCTGTTCTTACTTGTAATGTCATGGTAAGGGAGCTGTTTCAAGTCAACAGCTACCTTTTGTCTTTCGTTCAATAGAGATGGGCAATGCCAGGGCTGAAATGATCCAAATGATTCTAGTGAAGGTGTATGGAGTTTAAAAGCACAGTGGAGCACTTCCTTACCACAAGGTAGAACTGAGCGTTTTCAGTTTGAGAGAACGTAGCCTAAATATACAAGGTTTATGTGTTAAACATGTATGAATAAAACAAAATGCAACACCAGGTATGTTTTTGATGGGAAAACATAGATCAGAAAGTAGCGTAATATGGGTCTTTTAATTCCTTCCACTGACTGTTCATTGCTGTATTGACGTCATAAAGAAAAATATGCTTGTTTCAGCATTTAAGTTGATCAGTACTGTGATATTGTATTATTGATCTGTTCATTTTATCAGGCATACCACATGTTTTACTTCTTGTCTTCTAACCAAAATTTAAACACTCCTCTGTTCAACCATACATTGCATTTTCTTCAACAAATCATAACAGTCAACAAAGTGTAATTTTCTGTCAGACGATCAGTGACTTGCTTGTTTTTGTTGATACGTCATTACTCTGCCTGGAATGTTCCACAGTATGACACTAAACACATTACATTTATTCAATTACAGATGGTTTTGAAGGTTAAAAAAAAAAAAAAAAATAGAAAAACAGGCTGACTGTGAGCGGGGTTGCCTTTCCACAGATCTGACCTGTAACTTGGCCTGGTTTGGTCTCTGTGAAGATAGGAAAGTTTAATACCATACTGTGAAACATTCCAGACAAAGCAATAACAACATTTAAGAATTTAAGAAAAGCTACACAGTGTATTTTTAAAGCACTAAATTCAAAGTGACATATTATTCCTATTCAGCCTGTACAGTTAGTTCAATGAATATTCATATCATAAATACCTGGTTTCTTTTGTTGATTGCCGCTCTGTTAGGGGCTGGTGCTTGATGTCTTGATAGGATTTGAGTTGAGAGAAAAGAGCCGTGGGAGGGGCCCTCACTGGAACACTGTCCCCTCTGTCCCACTGTAGTTCTGTCTGAGTGAAGGGGAGATGTCACCACATGTTGATGAGAGGGAGATAAGAGCCGCTCCAAAACACAAAGGATGTGTTAACTACGCGTTACCAAATGATTATGCCAGTTTCTGTTGTAGTTTTAAAACTTTTGAGTTGTCAGAAAGTAGGTCAAAATACTGAAACTTGTGCATGTTAATCTGCAGTGATCCAGTCTGTACAATCAGAGCTGTACATGTCATTATTTTGTAGGCATTGCAAAGCATGACTGACTAGAGGTAGGTAGAGTAGCCTAATTATATTGCTGTAAAAGTATTATAGTGACTAATAATATGCTAATATTAATAATATGACTTGAATTAATAACACAGTAATATGAACTGAGCTGAAGTAAAAATGGTACTCAAGTAAAAGTTAAACTTTCGGAAAGAAACAACTTTTACTTTCAGAAAACCTTTTACTTTCTTGGGAATTCCTATATAAAACTTTCACTGTAAAGAAAATAAAATATATTTTGTAACCTTTGACATAGTAAATATGAGATTAAGTACTGTATTACAAAGTTACAGGGAATACAAAATCATTCAAAAATGTGTTAAAGGTCCTATATTATGCAAAATTGACACTTGAGAGCTTTAAACCATGTTATAATTCTGTAACTTCATCAAAAACATACCTGGAGTGGTGTTTTGTTTCATTCATGTTTGAGTTATCCTGTATTATTAGTCTGTCTACATATCCAAAGCTCAAAATGCTCTGTTCCACCTTGTGATGTCATGAAGTGATAGTTTTCAGGTTAACAGCTACTTTTTACCTTTTGTTTACTAGACATTGGCAATTAGCAAAATTTTAATTAACCAGATTATTCTAATGAAGTTTGAATAATCAGTTTAAAACACAGTGGAGCAATTCCTGTATTACCACGTGACATTACAAGGTGGAAGAGACTTTACTTTGTTACTATTAACCATCATTGCCACATGTAAAGTCAGTCAGTTCACAATATGTTGTGCTCTTTTATTATTGCAAAGGAATTAATGAATGCTTTTGCTTAAAACATGGCATCAATGGACCTTCTGATCCTAAGTTTTTTTAGATGCAATGAGCTAGTGCGTACAGCTATGCATACAAACATACCTGGAGTTGTGTTTTGTTTCATTCACACACATTTAAAATTTTTAGGCTGAGATTTGTCTCAAACTGAAACCAGCCTGTTCCACCTTTTCACTCTGATGTCACGTTGTAAAACAGGAAGTGCGCCACTGTGTTTTTAAACTCCATATAACTTCACTAGAATCATTTGGTTAATTTCGGACTTGAAATTGCTAGCCTCTTCTAAACAAAAATTTTTCTGAAAACTACCACTTCATGACATCACAAAGTGGTACAGAGCATTTTGAGCTTTGGAGATGTAGACAGACTGTGTGAATGAAACAAAACACAACTCCAGGTCTGTTTTCGATGAGACAATCACATTTTAACATCGCTTAAAGCTCACAAGAGTTTTTAAGGACCTTTAATAACCCACTGTCTTTCTTGTGCATGGAGTCAGGGACATTTTGGTACACCACACAGTTTGAACCCACAGGGAACAAAGGAACAACACTTGACCAAAGAGAAACAGAAAAAAAACCTGTCATTAAGTTATATAATGAGTTCACCCTGCTGGATTTGGCCCTGCATGGCAGCCTTACGACACAGTCTCCAGACGGGACAGGAATGTGATGGAGGGTGCAGGAGCGTGCGAGGAAGTTGAGGGGGTGTAGGGGTTCATACAGCTGTGTCTCTAGGACATGAGGGGGGACATGAGGGGGCACACGAGGGGGACACGAGAGGGGACATGAGAGGGACACCAGCGGGGTGCAGTCAGGACAGTTCACAGGCAGAAAGTACTGGAAAGAACTGTACCTTTTACTGTTGACATTTGGACTCACGATATCAGTCACATGAATGGAAGTAGGGCTAGGAATGTCACAATAATTACTGTATCGACTTCAATGTATGACAGCAAGAACAGTGTATTTTAGAGCTCAGGGTTTATCATAATCATAAAAGTCGCTTTACTGGGATTATTCTACTTTGTGTCAATGACTAAAGCAGATTCAATATTATTGTTTATTGCAAAATTTCTCTCAATATTGTGCTTCAAAATGTGTTATTGTGACAGGCCTAATCACGGCTGCTTCATTACTGGAGGAAAAATCTAATTATTTGGATCAATATAAAGGTCATGATTATTTTATTTATGATCTGAAAAGACAAATAAAAGTATAATTTATGATTATTAATGTTCTGATTCAATGAGGGAAAGAACATGGACCCATATTGATTCCAGACAGATTTAAGAAGTTTTGATATAGACAATTGTAGGAGTATCTAATATTGAAAAAGTTATTTACTCATGGGTTTGGTGAAGTTTTGTCAGAGATCATTGGTGCACCATTTCCTCAGCCTAACTCTGAGTTAACAAAGCTGTGATGAGACAGTCAATAGAAAACTGCTCCTTCAGCTCCTCACACCTTTATCAAACTGAGGTCAAACAGATAATGTCATGTGACACTTACTCAAATTACATCAGAGCCATTCATTGGGGAAAGGAAAAGAAGAAGGAAAGAAGCATTTTCTTTAAAGGTTCTCTATGTAACTTCCCTGGTGGAGGGAACACCACTTGATTGTCTCCATGGAGCTGTTATTGCTTTGCAATTTGTGCAATAATTTTCCAAATTATGTAGCTTGCATTTACTCAATTACATGTGGTTTTATTGCTCAAAATACTTTGAAAAACATACATTCTTATTGTGAGTGGGCTTGCTTCTCCACAGATCTACCTTTTGCATTTTTACATGTTTCTCCCTAGTCTGGGCACCAAAACATGGGCAATAGGAATAATCCTCCAGCTAAGGTAGTCCTGACCAATCTGGAGGTGGGTCTCTGGGGCATTGATTGAAGAGTGGGTCAAATGCAAAGAAAAGATATCCCTCATGAGACATCAGTAAAGTATATCTTAACTACGTCTACATGGAGATACACTGTATAGGTTTAATTTCATACTCTCTATACATTTTACAAAGGAATAACATCTCCATGAGATAAGCAAGTGACAGTCTCCTCCAAAAAAGTTGCAATGTGCACCTTTAAGTATGGCTTTAATTGGACCCACCTTGACTATTTATTTAGCAAATTGTATGTACACTATACTTTACTAGAAAAAATCATGCTAAAACAATATTTTATATACAAAAGCATATTTAACATTTTTCCACCTCACTACTGGGACGATAGTTCCCTCCCTTCCCCGCTGCAGCTGGTGAAAACATGACTGGACCTGGCTTGTCTTCTGGCACTAGAGCTTTGACCTTTGACCTTGGCAGGGAAATGTACGAAAGCCTGCTGGGACCAAACAAACTCAGTCCAGCTCACCCCAGGAGCCTGTGCGTCACTCACTTTGATACTTAACTCTTACCCAATTACAAAAAACTGTCACTTAGACCAATGTTCTTCTTCTAAGAAACACATGAGGGACAGCAGTTGGACCATTTGTCCCTGTTTGCAGAAGCAGACTGACAGCACTGACAGCACTGACAGCACTGAGATATGTAGACATGTGCTAGCTGGTAATGGGAGTTTTATTTTTTTATTTTTATCTGCAAATCTTCTGGATGTTTAAAATGTGAACTTTGGACATCCAGAGATCGTTAAGCAGTTGCAATGCTTGTTTGAAAAACAGCAATTTCCCAAATAGTGAAGCCCTAGACACAAGGCTGGTGAATTGCTCAAGAACACAAGGACAGTATGAACTAGCCTAAGCAGGGATGGAATCACTGACCTTACAGCAAGTGATTTTCCCCTCAAAGGTGCATACTGCACTATGTAACTTGGTCTGTCACCTTCATGAGCGACGTTATTGCTTTACCTGGAATGATCAATACATGTTTTTCAGGCTAGTTTGCTTGCAATAAAGACAACTTTAACTGTTTAATTTACTAAATGCAAGAAAGGTTCAGTGCCATACTGTGAAAAAATCCTGAAAAAGCAATAACTTCTCCATGGAGATACACAGATGGCAGATCACCCACCAGAATAAAAATACATAATACACCTTTAGCAGTAAAATAGTGTTGACTGTATCTTTGAAACAGGGAAAATGTAAGTGATGCATCAACGCAACATAAGAAATAATATTTACTTCAAATATACCAAATTTACTCAAGGTGCTGTGTTGTGTGATTCTTAGTTTAAGTTTTCTCTCGGACACAAAGCTTTTATCTAGTTAAGAAAATATCTTGTATTGACTTTTGCATTTGAATTTTGAATTTTGAATTTGAATTTTGCATTTAAATGTAAGTTTGTTGCATGGCCAGCATTGTTTAACTTGTATGGAGCAATAATCAATCATCAGTCAGAGATCTTTTTGTTCTCTTTTTTCACTTTTTGATTTTGTCTTTTCATACCATTAAAAGCTTTATTAAGTGAAGTCAGCAACTTACAGAAATTGCTGCAAGGTGTGAATTCAATGCATAAAAACATTTAATGTTGGGGTTTTTCTTCTTGGGTTTATCATTAATGTAACGATTTGTTCCTCATCTCAGATTTTGACATTGACATCATTGACAGACTTGACTATTCTCGATCGTATCTGATGGATGGAGGGTTTTGATTTTAATTACTTTAAAAGTCAACTTTTACACAGAATTACAAGCCTGAACACATTCAATAATTTGCCTCTGACAAGCTCTTTGCTTGTAAGGCTAGTCTACTGATTCACTTTATAAAATGTTGCATAAATAAATAAATAAGGGGAAGACTTGTACAATGTATTGAGTTGAGATATTAAATTGGATTTTTTTCATGGATGCAGCTCTTGAAATTCTAATTCTCAGTTACAGTGCTGTTAATTACCAATTATACATTCATGTGCATATACTGTATTTACCAATGTCAACACTCTTGAACCCCAAACCATTATTTTTTTGTTTTATCAATTTATTTCCAAAATTGACTACTATTGTACACAACTTTCACTTGGTCACACGTTTGGTCTTTAGTTTTTAACATTTAGATCTTAAAGCTGCTTATGGTCAAAGAGTTTGTGTTCATATTACATAACAAAAATGCTTCATCAGCCCTGTACAGCATACACTCAGACATTATATCTATATTGATATATGATTTACACATAATGGTTGAATGCATTTTCTTTTTCCAGGAGGCGAGCTGTGCGTATGTTCTGATTGTCACAGCCATTTACTGGGTGTCAGAGGCGGTTCCTTTGGGTGCTGCTGCCCTGGTCCCTGCTTTCCTCTATCCTCTGTTCGGAGTGCTCAAGTCCAGTGAGGTGAGTCAAAATACTTTCTTGTTCAGATCATCCTTCAGTCACAGTGCATTTTAGTAATCACATATATTTCTAAATCAATCATGAAAAGTATAGCATATTGCAAAATATTGCATATTTGTTTTATACTGAGTGATTTGTTCTTGAACAATGCCTTATCCTAAGCCCTGTTCTGATGTACCATTAATAAACGCTGGTGGTTAATATTTTAAAAAGTTGTAGTTCCAAAAAGTAGTGAAAATAAGACCAAAAATATTTGCCAAATGCATTTTGTCAACTGAACCACACAATTTATTTATTATAAATTATATCCAAATCTCGTGGAGCCAGTCTTGAGTTTCATCTCTTGTGGGAATTCTGTCTCATCTTGTCCCTGCTTCATACTATAACATGAGCTCATAACTGAAGTCAGTGCCTACTGACTACATCTACTGTCACTGATACACTGGTACATTGTATAGTATTTTGATAAGAAATCAATGAAAAAATAAGACACCATAAAAACTCAGATACGATATGAGGCAACACAAATAGGAGCCTTAACATGTAGTCAACTGTAGTAAGCAATATTTGCTGTAATGTTTCACATTTAAGTCCTTATTTAACCTGTGACTGCACTTTTTGTCACCCTGAGTTCTCAGTGAAAAGGCTTAAAGTTTCTGTTCAGTTCAGCTGAAACCTGGATTTGTTAATGTGGATTTAAGAAGTCGGGTTTATTATATGTAACATAATGAGATTATAACACACAAGCCCCATACAGTAAACCTGGGGTCAAACTCAGGGCACACTCTTCTTGTGCTTAACGGCACACCTCTGTCTCACAGGCTCATGTCTTATTCAGGATCGGTGTCAGAATAGGTTTTTGACAAAAGTTAAATTTTTGTTTTGTAATTCACGAAAAGAAATAAAATCCTTTCTTGCTATGAATTCACAGAATGTCACTGACTGACTTATGACATTTATTAAGTTACTTGTGACTTATTGCTAAAAACTACCTTGAAAAAATTGCATTCTTACTGTGAGTGGGGTTGCCTTTCCACAGATCTGACCGGTAACTTGTCCTGCTGAAGAAGACATAAAAGTGCAAGTTACATAGTGCATACTAGTTAAATGAGTGACAGAAAAACTAACTTGACTTTTGTTTTGGCTCCTTATATACAAAGCATTACCACACCTGGGCTATGTGTTGTCAAAGTACTATTAGGCTAGTACACCATTCATTTATTCAGGCAAGTTGGCTAGAACTGAACTGGCAATCTTCTGGTTATAAGACTGTACTACCAACAACACCCTGAATGAATACTTGGCAATTAACTAAAGCGGCACATTTGGTCAGATAATCTCACTCTCTCTTTTCAATCTTTGTTACATAAAAGTGAGCCAAGTTTCCTGTGACATAATCGTGGTGACAAACAGTGACAAATCTGCAGTTAACACCAATGTAAGCCTCTTGTTCCATAAATATACCAGCAACAAGATTTATGCAACATTTTCACTTTATTATGGCGCTCTCGGGGTGGTCCAGACACATGGTCATTTACAGTTATGAATTCATTGTGTTTTCACCTATGGATAGACTGTATAAAGAAGATTAGCAGATTATTGGAGCGAACAGGAATAGGAATTTATTTACAGACAAAATTGCGAAATAAAAACACCAGGATCATGTAGAGCGGGTTAATACAAACATTTTAAGACCAAATGATGAGGCTCACAACAGCAGTCACAGAGATAGTATTGACAATTTTTCAAAGTCATTTGGAAACAGAGTTGATGGAGCCAGAAATGGACCCATGCACACTTCCTGTATGGAACACAGTGGTTAGCTCTGTCCATTCATATATACAGTTTAGACCGGCAGAGACTGATACATCCAATGAATGGTTTACGCTACTGAATGAATTAACTTTGTCACTTAGACCTTAGGAGGTTTGTGATATAAAAAGAAGAGGAGGAGGAGAGGAGGAGGTGACAATAGCTGCTGCAGTGGAGTTAGAGTGTAGGGATGTGTGATGAAACCTCAGCGTAGCAAAGTTTACTTGCGTTCAGTTTAGATAGGATTTTCCTGTGTCAGTGAAAACAGACTGATATTGACACTCATTTAGGATTGATTGTTGTTCATAAAAAAGTAAAAGAATATGTTCTAGGTGAGAGGTGAGATACGTAGTCTTATACAACAACATACAGCAATGAACCCAGCAGAGGAAAGTGGAGCAGATTAATAGAAATCCAAACATGAAGCTGAACAGGGGAAATGGGTGAGACACAAGTAAACATGGGCCTGTTTACAAAATGTATTTCACGCTGGTTTGTCAAAGCCTATAACCAGTAGTTTTGCGCTATAACGCTTTAATTAATTCAGTTTTAGATCTCTTTTAAATTAGGTAGTTATCATTGCCATAAGTATTTACGTAGAGTTAAGGGATATAATTTCCAAATATTATAACATATTTTAGATGTATATTATATGATCCCAGATAAAGGTGAGGCAAGTTTAAATATATTATTATAAATAAGCATAATCTGAAAAAAATTTAATATTAATAATTGATCATGTCAAGGAAATTAACTGAAAGCTTCAACTCTCAATTCTGTTTTAAACACAGTAATGCTAAGCAGCTAGTTAATATATTGAGCGATAATTAATAGAGCTCTGCCGATATTTTTGGACCGGTATGTAAGGCCGATTTTAATCATTTTCACCAAATATCTTAAGTCCCCTTGTATAACAAAACTATGAGAGCGGGGTGCAGTCACCTTTTGTGCAACTACCTCTGTTTTCTCTGTTTTAAAATATTAATATAAAACTTTGTGTGTATTTTTAGGCAGCAGATTCCAAAAAACATCTTATCTCTACTCATTTTAACTGTCTTTTTGTTGTTGTGATTGTGCAGGTGGCAGCAGAGTATTGTAAAGACACCACTCTGCTGCTCATGGGAGTCATCTGTCTCGCGGCGTCCATCGAGAAGTGGAACCTGCACAAACGCATCGCTCTGAGGATGGTGATGGTCGCAGGGGCCAAACCGGGAATGTAAGAAAACATTATTCCTGGCTTTCAGATGCCAGTACAACATTCTATAGGCCAATAATATTAATGTTATAATGTTGTTTCCTCTTCGCATATACACCTGGAGTTTTATTTCATTCACACATGTTTAACACACAAATACAGAAAACACTCTGGTCCACCTTGTGATATCATGTGGTAATACCTGAAGTGTTTTATAGTACACCTTCATGAGAATCATTTGAATGATTTCAGCCCTGGAATTGCCTATCTTTACTGAATTAAAGGTAAAAGGTAGGTGTTATCAGGTGCAACTTTGTGCTTTTACCTTTTGGATATTTCACGGTAAAGTTCAATGTAATCCATAGGAAAATCTGTTTTTGCTCCCCATCAGCACTGAATGGCTCTATTTATTCCACTTTTCTGTATATATGCAACAAAATGCCTTCACCTTTTGGCATATTGTTCTTGGAGTTGGTACCAGAAAATCCAGGGCACGTTAAAATGCTTAATCTAACAAGCCTTATGCATATGTAATCCAAGGCATATGGTGTGTACTGGGCAAATATACAGTATTCGAGTTCAAAAAGCTTTGCAGGGGATCAGAATGCAGACAGATATAGGGAACAAGGTGAAAGTAGTATATGTACAGTATTTCATAGCACAAACACACTATCTAAATCTGTGTTTTGACAATGAAAACTGAATTTACTACATAAAAAGAATTTATTTATAGGGCCCATATTAGGCTATTTTCTGATCTAGATTTAACATATAAACCCTGCATATTTAGGCTGAATTCTTAGCTCTCAGCTGTGTTTTTAAACTCTGTACACCTTCACTGGAATAATTTGGATAAAGTAAAAGGTAGCTCTTAATTACCATGTGTGAATGAAACAAAACACAACTCCTGTTTTTGATGAAGTAACAACATTTTAACATAGTTTAAACTCACAAGAGACAATTTTGTGTAATATAGGACTTTTAAGCATTGCAAAAATAATGTTATGCTGTTATTTACAATACTAGTAATACTTTCTCTGTCTCGTCTCTTTCTCTCTCATTATCTCTCACTCTCCTGACTCCCTGACTCTTTTCCCTCTCTGCCACTCTCTGTCTCCCTCCTTCTCACTCTCTCTCTCCCCCCTCAGGTTGGTGCTGGGGTTCATGTGCTGTACAGTCTTTTTGTCTATGTGGTTGAGTAACACCTCGACCACTGCTATGGTGATGCCCATCGCGGAGGCCGTGCTGCAGCAGCTCATCTGCACTGGACTCGCCGACAGCCTGGAGAACCCCGACAGCACCGACGGGACAGAGGACAGTCACGACAACATGGGTATGTGGCCCTGGTACTAATAAGGGAATATTTGGGGAGGTTTGGGCTGTAGCATGTTCTATTTTCTAGACTACAAGACTCTTTTCTTTTTTTTTTGTAATTTTCTTTTTTATTATTTCTTAAGGTGACCAAGTGTATATAAAAATTACAAATAAACTTATACAACCTTATAAAAATAAACCATACATGTTTTCATAGTGCTACCACATGTCCTTATATATAGTTCTATGTATAGTTCTTTCTTAAAATATTTTATTTTATCTATAATTTCTTATTATAGACACAATTTAACTACTTAAGTGTTGCATTATGTTATTTATTTTTGGCAGTTCAAATGTTCTAACAATTTTGTACATTTTGAATACTTTTTGGGGTATAATTTTGCTTCATGGTTTGATTTCGTCTATACCTACTGCAATATATCATATTTCAAAATGTGTTATCGTGACAGGCCTGTGGATATGGGAAATCTGACATGCTTTTAGAAAATAGCCTGTTATTTTTCTGCAGTTTATTTAACTGCAGTACTAATGCGAGATGGGTAGAGTAGCCAAAAAAATTACTCAAGAAGGTTTATATATATATATATATATATATATATATATATATATATATATATATATATATATATATATATATATATATATATATATATATATATATATATATATATATAAATATTGTAAAAAGCAAGTATTTTTATTTGCTGAAATGTCTGAATTCCTTCTGTATGTTACTGTGTTTCAGAAAAAGAACAAAATTTAGAGAAAAACCAACTGGAGCTGCTCTATCGAGAGGACAGGTACAATTACTGTAGCATTGTGTTATAATTGAGTCCACTGTAGAATTAATCCAAGTTGCCTTCTTTTCACAGCAATAACTGTAGTAAACAAGAGCTCTCTACAGTCACTGAGGTGAGCATCAATCATGGACCAGTATTTGATTTAAAACAGCCACAGATTGTAAATAATGTCTGGATGTTTTGTGTGTTACAGAGTGGAGAGCTGAACGGTTTAGGGCTGTGTCCAAACTCACGCATCATGAATAACACAAATGGACATCTACCACAGGTCAGTACATCTTAAAAAGGGTGGGGCACATCCAATATCTGTGATTTTGGAAAGTCTTGAATTACTCAGTTGCCAATCTCACACACAGGAGAGAGAGAGAGACAACCAGAAATTCTCTCCGCCTTATTATTGAAAGCCTAAGAAGCAAATATTTTAGGTTTGGAGGAGACAAGTAAACATTGTAATTCATTATTACAGTTTCAGATTGAAAAACACAATAAGATCCACATCACATTCATTCATTAAGGGGCATTTGGATTTTCCTGTTCACTTGTTGTGCATGTACAGTATGAATTCCGTATGGGAATCACTACAGGATCCAACTGTTGTGAAAATATTGTAAATTTTTGGAGAAATTAACCAACTAACAAATAAAATTACCTGATCATGGGACTCAGTTACAGTAGTTAGAGATGTGAAGTGATGTACCTTATTTTGTTTCGTTCCTGTAGGTGGCAGTGGAGATCCCCAATGTGAAGCGAGTAAAGATGAGGAGGGACTCGCAGTACCCGACCAAGAGGGACCACATGATCTGTAAATGTCTGACTCTGAGCATCACGTACGCCGCCACCATCGGAGGGCTCATGACCATCACCGGTACCTCCACCAACCTCATCTTCGCCGAGCAGTTTAACACGTGAGTTCATACAGATCCGGGGAACATGTGGCAGACTGCTGTGAACCACTGAGAGGTCATTGAGAGCAAGAACAAGGCTTAAGAGCTGCAAAGTCAGATGAATGAATGAAAATGCATGACCAAAGTTTGATAATTTTGATAAATGGCATTCAGTTAACAGAACATACAGTAAATGGTGGCACGGTGCACTCATGCTTCACAAAGGGGACTACAGAGTGTGCTTTATATTACCTTAAACAATATGTACTTTAATAATTGCCATTTAACGCAAAAAGAGTAAAATTTGTTACTTCAAGCCTGAACTCTGCTCCAAACCACTTGTTTTTACTGACAGAGGATTGGATTAAAAATCTCCAAACTGACAATTGCACAGTCAATTCTTCATAGGGTCTTTTTGAGAACATTTATACTTTTATTTTGAGTAGAACAAGTCTTTTTTTTTTTCCTTGGTTACTGATCCGGGCAAACCCCCTACTTCCACTTCCACTGCTTTAAGCTTCTCAAAATCTGCTCCAAAGGTCGGAGTTTGACTAAGAATGAGCTTTTGTGAGCTGTTATACTGAACCACAACAAACTATACAGCACTGGACAACAATATAAGAGAAATGTATAAGGCTTGTGCTTAGTCATTCATTTGTTTCATTCAGCGTTCACTCATTCAAGTTTTTGACCGACCTGATATTTCTGGTCCAAGTTTTCCAAATTGGATGCAAATAGGTTGTTCCCAAGACTTGTTTTATGCCATTGACAATAACTTACCCGGTTTAAAAGGGACACAAGCTGGCCACCTTGTCTGAGGTCCAGGTGGGTTAAAGACACATTCAGAGAGTTTTCAAGCTTTCCTAATTTATATTCACACCAGCGAAAGAACAGAAAACGGTCAAAGAAACAAATCTGAAAAACAAGTGATGAGAGAAATTTAAAAAGTGTTTGTGGACAATCTTATAAGACACAAAAATTACGTAAGACAGTAATCTTTCACCTGATTACAAAAGTGCAAGTATTGACAGGCAAATCTTATCACTAACTAGACAAAAAAGCACTGACTGCAGATTATTGAAGGCTGACAAGAGATGGGGCTAAAGAGAGTTCACTTAGCTCCATTTTTATCTACAGTGTAATTAAAGGGCATATATTATCCATGGTTATAATTCTGTTTCGTTATTCAGAAACATACCTGGAGTTGTGTTTTGTTTCAGTCACACATTTAACACACAAACCCTGCAACATTTAGGCTTCGTTCTTTTCTCAAAGTGAAAACACAGTTCCACCTTGTGATGTCATGTGGTTATACAGGAAGTGCTTCACTGCGTCTTTAACTCCACACTTCTTCACTTGAATCATTTGGATGATTTCAGACCTGGAATTGCTAATCTCTTCTGAACTAAAGGTAGAAGGAGCTATTATCTTGGAAACTTCCGCTTCATGACATCACAAGGTGGAACAGAGCATTGTGAGCTTTGGAGATGTAGATAGACTAACAATAAAGGGTTACTCAAACGTATGAATGAAACAAAACACAACTCCGAGTATATTTTTGAGGAGATCACAACATTCTAACACAGCTTAAAGAGTAAATTTTACATAACAGAGGACCTTTAAAGCTAATGCATTCTTTCATTGTTTTTCAGGCGTTATCCAGATGCTAAAGTCATAAACTTTGGCACTTGGTTCATCTTTTCGTTCCCCATCGCCATCATCATGTTGGTGCTCACCTGGCTGTGGCTGCACTTCCTCTTTCTGGGCTGCAAGTAAGTCTGTCTTATGTGTAGTGATTAAACACATTTGCTTAATATAAGAAAGGTTAGCAGTTTACATTGCATTCTGACATTCCTCTTGGGCAAGACACATCATCAGTTTTGTGGTAGAGGACACACCTTTGGACAAAATGGCAGTGGTGGAAGAAGTACTCTATTCTGTTACTTAAGTAAAAGTACAGATGCAAAAAAAAAAAAAAACTAAACTAAAAACAGTAAAGTACAAGTAAAAGAATCACACTATTAAAGTACCTGTATACAAATTTACTGAAAATTTACCCTTCAGCCTTTTCAGCAGGTCTCAAACTATAATAAAAAAACAAAAACATTTTTTTCAGTCCTGTTAAAACATGCAGTGCTGTAGAAAGTACAGATACCTGCTCTCAAATGTAGTGAAGACTTAAAATGCACTTAAGTAAAGTACAGATACTTACATTTTTTACTTATGTACAGTATTTTACTACTTTTACTATATGAAGACTTTAGATATTTGAGACTTTATCAACACCAAAGTGATGAATGCCTTTTGCTCTATGTTCAAAATGTCATTATTGTTCATATTTTAATAATGTTTTGGTCCTTCTTAGTTACCCTATTGCCCTATGAAGAGCCTTGATTGTGCATTTAATATTTTAATTAACTATGAGGAAAAGGATTTCACACTCACAACCACATTCACTGTTGAGTGTCATAGGTCTTTTCATTTGTCCTGCGCATCTGTGTGTAATTACATCTGTGTGGGCCTCTATTTGTCATCAGTGTGGACAGAGCAGTACAATAGCCCCTGTCTGTGGCTTTCTGACCTTAAGAAATATTCTTTACTTTGTGGTCACAAACTGGACCCAGGTTGACCCTAAATGTGTGGTCTAAACACTGTTATTACTGTGAGGTGAAGGTAATGGTGTTTATTCTGTGCTTAGTTTCAGAGAGACGTGTTCTCTGAGTAAGAAACGCAAAACCAGACGAGAGATGCTGTCGGAGCAAAGGATCCACGAGGAGTATGAAAAACTGGGGCCAATCAGGTCAGTACTGTATACTGCATTGTAACAATAAAGTGTCCGTTATACGCCTTTAATAAACTGTCACTTCACTCTTTGGTGATTTGGTCACCAATCTAGAGCAGTTGTCAATACATGGTCACATTATGAAAGTTGTTGGTTTGTTTGCGTGCAGTTACCCAGAGGTGGTGACTGGAGTGTTCTTCGTCCTGATGACTCTGCTGTGGTTCACCAGAGAGCCGGGCTTTGTCCCAGGATGGACCTCCCTGTTTGAGAAGTAAGTGCAAATATTGTTTATAAAGCACACAAATGAGTGTATAAACCAATACACAATAACACAGTGTTCTGCGTGTGTTTCTTTCTACAGAAAAGGCTACAGGACTGATGCCACCGTGTCCGTGCTGTTGGGTTTCCTCCTTTTTCTCATTCCTGCAAAAAGGCCCTTCTCCTCATCCTGTGCATCTGGATGTAAAGACATAGGTGAAAGATCTTTAATTTATGTAACTTTATTTTACCAACATATATTCTCTAAAGAGTCAGTGGTCTGCTTCATAGCTAAAATTATACATTTATTTTATAAATCTTTATGGATTTTGTTTGAATTAGCATGACATTTCATCGACTAAAATTAGACTACAGCTCAAAAGAATTATATGACCAACTCTTGACTAAAACTAAAAATGTTTTTGTCAAAAGACTGAAATACTGAAGTAAGGGTTCATACAGCATCCACCTATATGTTAAGTTACACGACTGTTTGTCTGATCTGGGTCGAGATTTATTGTAGCTGTTGAGTTCAGTGGGTCAGACAAATAACAGCATAAACATGTTCCACATTAGACGTGGGTCAGTTATATGTGCTCATGTGGCTAATCTGGAACATAAACATTCACTTACAATGCAGTTACAGACATTAAAGATATGTTCTACTTTAGTACCATTAACCCCACAGTAGAAAAAATAACTCATCTATTAGCAGTTGTAGTTCCTAACAAAGTATTTTAACATCTCGATACTTTTCTGTTGTTTAGACTCGGAGGAGGACTCTCTGACCCCTATGATCACCTGGAAGGATTTTCAAAGACTGATGCCGTGGGAGATCGTGATCCTTGTGGGAGGAGGCTATGCCCTGGCGGCCGGCTGTAAGGTAATATGTTGTGTCTATGGATGTAGTTGTTACTGATTACAGAATTGGAATAGAAACGGTATGGGACTGAATAATAGAAGACATTGTTGCTTTTTGTGCTTTGTGTATTTCTGTACAGTTCTTAGTACATGTTAATAAGGTCCTAAAACTCAAAAATACAATAAACCTCGATGTATGAATGAAAGAATGGAGCACTTCCAGCTCTGCTGAGTACTGACTCCAAGTTGACTCCAGTTTGCATTTGAAACATACATTGAAAAACCTCTCTTTGTAACTGCTGCACTGAGTCCTGGGGGTTTTACTTTCCTGTTTTTTCTGTTAATAAATCCTGTTTTTTAATATGGAACTTCGCAAATTCATCCCTGTGACCGCTGGCATCATGAGCTTCCTTAGACTGGAGCCAAACACTATGGGTGACGTCACACTTCCTTTGTCCACTTCTTTATACAGCCTCTGGTATGAAGCTCTAATAATTCAACTTAAGAAATAGCTAATAAATAAAATGAAAAAGCGTTTTGGAGTTGGTAGTGCGAATGACAATAGAGAAACCTCTGAGCATTTACTGGTACATACACAATACATGTACACGATTTTTTCACATCAACCAGAGTCTACAGGTGGAAATTACTAGTTTTGCTTTAATCCAGTGATCCAGCCAATGTTCTTATTAGATATTTCTTAACCGAAGGTTGTTGTTTGCTTCAGGTGTCTGGTCTATCGGTGTGGATCGGTCGGCAGCTGGAGCCCATGAGTGGCCTGCCCCCGTGGGCTGTGACCCTGCTGGCCTGTCTGCTCGTGTCCGCGGTCACAGAGTTCGCCTCCAACCCGGCAACTCTCACTGTGTTTCTGCCCATACTCTGTGCACTGGTACTGTCATAACTTTTTACTCTGTATTTATTATGTTTGATTATTGATTATTTGTATGTCCTCACTTATTTTTGTCTTTTAGCCATCAAGTAGGCTTTTTGAAAGTCTTCCAGGGTGTTTTTTATAAGCTATTTGATTAATCACCCAAACAAGTAACTTTGACCAACTGTTTTCTAAATAATTATCAAGAATTTAGCAAAATACAGATTAGCCACTTAAAATGCATGACTTAGTCATAGTAAACTGTAAGCATAGTTTGCATTTTAGCATTATAGAGTAATTGCATGAAGCACTGAGACAGATTGAGGACAATGCTGCCCCCTATCTACAAATACCAAAGACTCACACCAGTCTATATGTACATTTAATTAAAAGACTGCTTTATGGTCAACTGTTTTTAATGTATGATATATAAAAATATATCTAAGATGTCCAAAATAGTTTAAACTTTTTTTTTTTTCCACAGTCGGAGACCTTGCAGATTAACCCTCTCCACACCCTGATCCCAGCCACCATGTGCGTCTCATTCGGGGTCATGCTTCCAGTGGGAAACCCTCCAAATGCCATCGTCTTCAGTTATGGGCATGTGCAGATCAGAGATATGGTAAGACAAATGAAAACAAAAACCACCACCAAGAATTACTTAAAAATTAACTTGCAAGTCTATACATTTTAAAATTTGAGAACACAGTATATATTTATTAAATAAGTTTGCATATTTACACTGTCTTTTGATAGTAATCTTGCATATTTTATTTTGGCCATAGCAGCATAGTTAACGTAAAAAGTAGTATCAATACTTATAGGTTTTTCTAACAGAAAAATTATAACATAATAGAAGATAATAATTATATTAACTGAAAGTGTATTTATTCTATTTTCTCTCTGCACAGGTTAAAGCTGGATTTGGAGTTAACCTGATAGGAGTGGCTGTTGTCATGTTGGCCATCACCACATGGGGTGTCCCCCTGTTTAACCTCACAGAGTTCCCAGTCTGGGCCATGGGCAGAAACGTCACAGTGGGCCTATAACACCACTGAGTCAGGACTAAAGGGGGAATATACCAGAGACAGTCAACATACAGCTACAAGATGGCTGCTGCTTTCAAAGGCTTAGACCTTCCACAAACTGGCCACACAGAGAGATTCATAAATTACATTACTGGAAGCCTTCACCAAAGCTACCACCAAGGGAGACATGTCAGTGTATTGTACCACAATTTTACAAAATCAAAATATTGGTCAGGAAATGGCCGGGATTGAGCTTGTTATACATTTTTTCACTGACCTTAGAAGATGGTGATTGACATTTTAACTACAGCAAAAAAACATTTCCAGCAGACAAATTGGATAAAACTATGTTAGTACATGAATGCTAAAATATTATGATTATTCAAATGTTCAGATAAATTGTGTAAACAACATTGTGTACATGTGTGAGTATTGACCAGGAGAGAGAAAATGTATCTTGAAGGAAATGAACACTATAATCACTACTGAATTTGTCCAAGCTCATGAACTTAATTAGCTGACTATCTTAAACAAAAAGTGTGCCTTTCCCATGACTATATAGCACTACTACCCGATGTCATATTAAGACTAATAATGGCAAGTGTAATGTATAAAATAACTGGGATGCTGGCTGGCAAACATTTTTGATACTTGTCCAATTCAGTATATTGCACAATATAGGTTGAGCAATTCAGGTACCAAGCATCAATAGCCGCACAAACATATAAATAATATGTAAACAGGTGATTTTAATGCAATTTTTGTGAGAAGAATCAAGTCAAACATAATTTTGACTAGCATTATTTTAGTCGGATCAAGTCTTACAATTAAGTATTTGTACATGACATTCACATGATACTGTATTTGCAGTAGAAGATAGACATTATGTGTTTCAATGTAATTTGTGACTTTTTTTTACAGTATATTACAAGATCAGCTTTGGGCTGGACAGCAGCAGAATAATATAAAGTTAAGGAGTTTGTGTTAAGTTATTTAGTGCCAAAGGTTACACACATGGGTGGACTTACCATTTTCTTTGTAAATATGCAAAAATGTAAAATATAAAGTGCCTATTTTCAAATGAGCTGTCACTGTTAAAATCAGAGTAGCCTATTTGTATAGTACAAAGAATATACGTGACAATGACAATAAAAATATGCTCAAATGCTGTATTTATTCATTTTTTATTTCTTAAACTAAGGTATCTTTCGGTAAACCAACTGTATATTAATAAGGCTCACAACATAAAAGATGTTTTTGTTATGGAGAAGTATTTTGTAGCAACAACTGGAGAGTCAAAAATGTCGATGTACTCTAGACTAGGTTATTAAATTAGTAAATTTAGTTAGTTCAGCATAGTCACAAGATTTTATGGTAAATTAATGTATTTGTCAGTGCTTAATTAAAAGAAATGATCAATAAACAGTAATGAAAACACATGAATAGTAAAGAATATAGACACATTTTTTGAAATACTATTCACATATCTGACGTATAAAAAATCCTTTACCAATTTAGCTCTATTTAGGTATTATATATTTTTTTTTTAATTTAAATAAAAAAAAGGCTTATATTGTCAGCATGTCATTTGACACAACCATTAGTGATTTTCTGAAAGGTTAACTGGAGCAGCTGTTTAAATCCTTATTGTATTGTTTTAGAACAACACTTTCAGTATTAAAATTGTACTTTGTGAGCATGTGAGGGGTGTGAGGAGTATTGCTTGACAGTGATTTCAGGGCCATAATAAAATACCATATACAGTTTGTCATTACAATTCCTTCACCTCTGTACAAATAAATAACACCAATATACATTCTCAAATTACATTAGTGCAGCCCTCTCTGGTCCAGTGGTTATGAAGCCTGTTTTGGCCCCTCAGCTGGAGTGAATCCTTCCGTCTGCATTTTCGCTTTGTATTTTAGAAAGTCCCTCCTTTTTGTGAAATACTTGACCTATAATGAAAAGAGAGTTACTGTTTAAATGGTTAGTTAGGCTATTTCTAATGATTTGGTCTCAAGACTGGGTTGTTTTTGGCTTGACATAAACGAATCAAACTCATGACAAAACACAGTTTGGGCAGAGAAAACTAATCACATTGCTAAGACATTTATATACTTTAAACCCAGATTTGACCAGATATTGATTTTCTTCTTTTCATGTTTATACATTGCATTGATTGCAAATTAAATTTTAAACTTATTTTATACAGTTGAGTCTAATCTAACCTCTAGATGTAAAAGCAAGCCAATATGAGGTTTCTCACTTTCTACCTGTACTAAGCATAAATATATTTTCCACAAGTAGACATGTTTTTTTCTGTGGCAATCAAAAGATCAACAAAAAGATACATGTAACACTGGAGATAGATAAAATAATATGAAACCAGCTGGTGGTTACAACATATAAAAACATATTTACCCATTGAGCGGGACACTTGTCTTCAAATTCTATCTGAAAACGTTGACATGATGCAACATTATCATTGTTCTCGTCCATGCATTTCCACAGCAGGTCCCTCGCATCCCAGCAGGCTCTTCTCTCAGATGAGTTTGGGGCTGCCATCACTGTTCGACTTAAGGCCTCCCACTCAGGTATTAAGGCTAAGGCAGGTACTGTTAAGCAGAAAATATGTTACACAGGCTGGCATAGTTCAATACACATTCAGCCAATAAACGATGGTGAGATGCAGTGGAAATGGCATGTAGAGGGCCGATATTGAGGGGAAACATCTTCCAAAAAAAGAATGAGTGTACAAAATGAATGAATGAACAAGCTCTCTCTTAGAAATAATCACAGAAAGTTTGTAATCATTGGTCTTTCAATTACAGGTGTAAAATTATGTTATATTTCTTGAGCCCCATGTTTGTTCAGATTTGAATAATTTACACAAGCATTATCTTCCATTGTTGTGGGTGACGTTATAGAGTCACTCCTGTTAAATAACTTGTTTACGATCATTCCTTTAACACCATGCAGCACTTCGGCGGGTTATATCAGGACAGTTCATCTCTTACCACTCTGAATTCTCTCCCAGAGGATCTCCGGTAACACACCGTCACTCCATAAATGAACAGCGTCACTCCATAAATGAATCCGACAGCTTGTAGTAGTAAAATAAGTATTCTGTAACGCGTGAAGTTACTACGCAAGTGATTTGAAGGGCGCTTGTACTTCCGAGTCGCTTGGTGATGACGTAGTATAAATTCTTGGTTGTGATTGGCCACTACAAACTGATGACGTTTTATTTATCGGCCGCGACAATCAACGAAGAAACGCGATGAGAAAAGTGGCGAGGAATAATACAAAATGCAAATAGTTACCACTCAAACCGAGATAGACTCTTTTATTAAACGAGCGGAAGACGAGTCACATTCAAAATATGTCTGTATATCCGTGGATCGGGGCTTCACCAACAAAGGTACCTGCGTTATAACAAAAGCTTACTAGTTTCTTGTGACCAAACATGCTAATAAAGGAATAAAGGAAACCACGAAAATGTATGCCCTAGCTTAATAATTGTGTTTTTGTAGACTGGCAGCCTTTGCCCAAGAGAAGAGTGTACTGGCAGTGGTCAGGTGGAGAAGGCTCGCCATCTATTGACTTCACCGGGATTCCTTTTATGTTTGTCGGGGGGAAAAGACTTGGTTGCCATCGAGGTAAAGACCGTGCTGTTGCGCAGAAGAAGAAGTATAAAGAAGAGAAAGCAAAAAAGATGGTGAGTTAAATTGCAGGACAGAATAAGAGTCTGTCGTGCTCTAGCAAGTGTAGCAGAAATCTTCCAGCGCTTCATTTGAAACCTCCAGAATTCATGCTCAAATAAAATTAGGATTTGCTGCAACTGCTGAACGTTTTGGGTTGGGTATTCACATCAGCAAGAGCCCTTGGTTCATTCCCTAATGCTTTTAGACAGAAGTCTGGCAATCCTAAGTGTGGAGCTAATTCTGCTTTTTTATAGGACACTCAGTTTTTGAAATCAAATACAACATGTATCAGAAGATAACACCATAATGTTGAAGATGTACTAATAATACATTAGTCTTATATAAAGATTTTCCTGACAATCAAAGTCACTTTTACAATTCAGCGCAATATTCATTCACTGCGTACTCGCTGGTGGTAAGATACTACTGTAGCCGCAGCTGCCATGGGGTAGCACCAGTGGCCCCTCCAACGCACATACCTCATTCATACAAGATTTGCTTAAAACTTAAAATGTGTGATACTGGGTAATAATCATAAGAGCAAGGTTAAATTGAATTTATCTTTCCCATTAAACAGCTGGAGGACTACAGCACACTGAGTCAGACATCTCCTTCACCACACACTAAAAAAGTTGGATGTCCAGCTAATATATGCATAAGCAAGATTGCAATGTTCCCTAAATTCAAGGTAAGTCAGTTACATTTAATATTACATTGTAAACTATTTTAATTTTATGAATAAAATTATGCTTGAAGATGGACAACACCTCTAACATGGTATTTATTGTGATAGATAATAAAATAGTGCAATATTAATACACAGTGTTGATTGATTTTACATTTTTAGGTTATTGTTGGGGAAGCATTCGATCGACTTATACTTTCTCTGAACACCTAAACAACTAGGTCAGACAGCAGTTGTATTGTTTTGTTTATTTATTTGCATTTTTTCATTGTAGCTCAGTGATAACAAAGAAAGGATCCGTAAGAGAACCTCAAAAGCGCTCAGACTGGCTTTACAACAGGACCCTGTGGTGTGGGAGACATGCTTTGTCATCACACACCACAGTGAGCACAGCGGACATGAGGTGGATGAACTCGGTGGAAAGAAGAAAAGAAGGAAAAGACTGAGTAAGTGAAGTTCTAAGTTCTGTGCATATTCTGTTGAAATGTCTCATGAGATCTCTTATTGGAGAAGAAGAATATGTAGGTTGTTGTAATAAAAAGAGCATAAAAATATGATATTGGAGGATTTCTTTGTATAGCATTGTGAGCATGTATGGCCTTCATCTGTTTTTGCAGAGGATAATGAAACCGCAGAAGGTGAATCCCCAGCTCAAAAACGTGCCAGAAAAACACGCCTAAAGAATAAGTGCATCAAACTCACCAAAGAACTGCTGGATAAACTGTATTTCATTGAGGACCTAAACAAACTTGAGGAGACTTCTGGAAAATTAAGCAACTTGTTGGAAGACCTGTCACCATTTAGCCACAGTGAAAATGAGAGGCCTCTGCAAATAGAGGCAAAAAGGGCAAGAAGTTTACCATCTTTTACATCAACACTGACTCAAAAGACCATTCAAAGACCATCCAAATATACTGAAAGATGTGGTGCAACAGTGTGCCGGAAGTCAATGACCCAAGTCACGCTATGGCCTGTGCATTCTGTGGCTAATACATTGGAAATAGAATAGATGCATTGCACAATAATCAGTTTGTTTGAATTTGTTTGCTCTGTAAATGTTATGAGAGATGGCATATGTATTAAAGTGTCTTTACATATTGGTGTTTGGCATTATTAGATTACATGATTCACTATTCAGGCATCGAAAACAACCATTACTACCGTTCCGTTCATTTTATTTTAGAATTTACTGTATTATATTAAATAATGCTGTTTTATTTGTTCATTCTCGCGTTGTTTAGGTTTTCGATCTAAAAAAAAAAAAAAAAATCCAACGTACACTCTCTGACATTAGGTGTAGTATTCACACAGTCTGCCACCTGATGGCGCACTTAGCTCAATAACGGAAGATCTTAAAAAAAAAAAAAATTTAATATATGAAAAAGTAAAGCAAATATTTATGTAAACTTACGTGTACAATTCCTCGACTGTTATTGTTACTATTTTTATAACATAGGTATGTTTAGACTACTTTGCTTTTTGGTTTTATTTGATTTTACACCGATTTATGATTAAAATTTAACCTTTTAATGTTTAGACGATCTAAGCAACCACCTTTGATTCACTGTTTGTCGGTGCTCCAAATGCTGCTGCCAATTGTTTGTCTGAAAAAGATTAGCTCAGCAAATCTAATAGAACTACATTTACAAAACATTAACCTACGCCATTAAAGATGTCTGTGTTGCTGTTACACCATTAAAGGGTCGAAATGGTTCGAGTTAGGTCATGTTTTATGTTTTCTCTTTGGCACCGAGATAAAATGCACGTTGTTGATTAACTCTCTGTTTTCTACAGTGAATCTGAATAGCTGAGCAGGTTTCCATGGAGCTGGGCAGAAATCCCCCTCTCCCATGTGCCTGAAAGTGTCTGAATGAAAAGCACCGCTCTCTTGGTTCCACCCACTTCTCCCTCTTCTGTGAAGTAAGTGTTTGTTTCTCAGAGTTTTCAGCGGGCCCCGATCACTGTCAATGTCCTGCTCCATTTTACTCTCTGCACTCCAAATCTGTGTGGTTCACCCTCAACAAGTGTCCTCTTCTTACCGTTTTCAACTTGGGGTACTCCGCTTCTTTACAGGCCTCCTCTTTGGACTGGGCATTCCTCGTGTAGGTGACTATAAGGATCAAGTGGTGTAGTATAGACAAGTAAGGACAATAAATGTGTGCAAAACATTCAAAGATCTATGGGTACAATTCATTTAAGATGGTGTTACTGTTGCCAGTGAACGGTAGACTGAAATACTGTTACCAATAATTAAGAAAAGTAAGTTAAAAGTGCATAATTTACCACTTGAATAAAAACACAAGACACAATATAACCAACATAAAATACAAGACATACATAAGATTATACTTCAAAAATAAGCATGTATATTACCTGGGACTGCAGTCAAGTTGTGTCAACTAATTTCCCAATCCAAATCCACTTTATTTATATTGCACATTTTATAAATACAAGAAGTGCTGCATATATAAAGATAAAATTAGAACAAAATGTATACAGAGTGTATAAATGCTCAATTTAACCTTGCCTGTCCTTAAAAATGATAACCAATTAAGTCAAATAAAAGTAAAAACATAAAATAGCAATAATTTTAAATGTATCTGGATATTTTATTCTGCTGTTTAGTATAATTTCACTTTACCATATTTAATTGAAATATACTTCATACACTTTCATACAGTCCCATGCCCATACCACCCCTATTTTGAGAACCCCTGATTTACAGCATATGCCATAGATCCACACTTTGTCACTGGAGTCCTCACGGTGTGCAGAGCTGTCAGCAGCAGGATCCTGTTCCCTCTCACCGTGACTCTGATGAGTGACAGCCATGACATCAGCTCACTTTAGGAAGCCCTACTGTTTACTGCTGGATTCCTCACATGTTTTTCTGTGGAGACTTGATATTGTTTACAGTAGCTACTTTTATTCTATAACAGTTTCATTCACACTCTGAAGGTCAAAAGTTGAAGTCATACACTTTCAAAATGTGGCATGGGTTTGTGGATGGTACGAAGACTTTTAGAGTTCTTTTTTCTCAAGATTTATTTATAGGTATTTCCATCTTCTGAAGTGCTTTTTGTGATTTTTTTCCCCTACACAATGATATATTTTATTTGACCGTACTTTCTCCTCGTGTTGAACTGCTGGATGTCATGGGTAGCACACAGAGACATCGACCCCAGCTTCAGTTCACATTGATCTGTGTGAATCTGCTCTGGACCAGTCATTGACCTCCAGCTGCCTCCATGGAAGTCAATACCACCACTAACTGTGAACTGCATTCACTGTACGTCATAAGAGGGGTCAGGCGTGGGCAAAGACTATTAGGTGTACATTAGCAACATGAAGGAAATTTTTTTTGACATTGCAGTTCCCAAGTCAATTGTGAAATCAAGATACAGTATTAAATTTAAAGGTGCACTATGTAAATTTTCTGGTGGAGAGTCTGCCACCTGCTTATCTTCATGGATCTTGTCTTCATACTGTCATACCTTCCTATTGGGATATTGTCCCAGATGCCCTTCCTGCTGTCTTTTCCACATTAATGCACATATATGATGGAGAACTCAAAATATTGTTTGAGATTTGAACTAAAAATCCCTCTTAATGCATCTCTGTTGGCCTTTACAAGATGAGAGTGTTCAAACATTTGGAAAGAAATGGCAGAAATATAGGAAGCTGTAGAACCGTTGACCTTTACAGTGGAGCAGAAAATCCATGTATGTGAATTTTCTCATCGGCAGAGATGAGGCCGAGCAGTGGAGAGGGACTTGGACCAAAATGATTTCCTGATTTGTGA